CCAGGTTTCTTTTGGGTCGAGTATTGCCTTGTCGCCACATTGTTCAATTTGAGCTGCTCAACGGCTTGTTATATGTTACGGTGTTTTTTGTTGCCTTCCCTGCATCTGATGTGTTCCAGTGTTCATCACCTTCAGACGGCAGTGGGTAATTACTAAGAATTTTTTTTATTGTTTATTTTAACGGATACAGTCCACATAATATATGTATTAGTTATAAGAAAGGGGATATATATGTTATTTATTTTATTAGTAATTTGTGCTAATTTCATTTTATCATTGGTTCTTGTTGTTTATTATTATTTTTCTATCATAACGGAAATATCAGATTGTGATTATATATATATATGTTGTTTTTCTTTCTATCTATAGTATATTGTAAGGCTCAATTTCCACAATTTTATATTTTCCTTTCCTTCCGCTAAGGCATGCCCAAAAATACGTATGATCAATCGTATTTATTAAACAAACAAAAAGGTTACAAAATCGCAAATTGCCGATACTAAAGAAAATATAGCCGGCATTGCACAAACTGAGAGAAATATTTAACAAACGCATTCTGTCGATTAATTATATTATATTACACACGATTCCAGTCATGAGTCAATTATTAGTCACCTTTAAAAATCACTCTTTAAGAAATGTATAAATTATACTTGTCAGCTCTTTTTATTCTTATCTTAATAATAAAACACAATCTGTCAACCCTAATTTTAAATGTAAAAACAAACTACATTAACGTTTTATAAAAATTATTTGTATATTATTCATATGTATTAATTTACATATTTTATATTTTGTGCTTACTTATCAATAAACACTAACATCACAATAATGGAACGATGATGATTGTTCGGGGGATACAAAATATTATAAAAGGCAGAGCAATCCTTCTCAGTCAGTGCTTAGGGCTTGAAAGAGTCTGTCTTAAAATAGTTAAAGGACTGTTTTAATCGCGCTATCGACATCGATACGTAAAGTTCGTAATCATCATTATCAAAATCCTAACTAAAAATTTGAGTTTGTGTTATTTTGTTATTACTTGATACTATAAAAGTTATTATAAGAACAAAGAGAAATCATCAGGTAAGATTTCAAATCGATAAGAGTCAATACTTATATTGTCTTATAACTCAATTATATAGAATTAATCTGAGTAGAGAACGATAAAGCAATAGATCAAATATTTATATTAATCTTTAAACTTCAATTAATTATTACTGACTACCTTATACCTGTTCGTACCTTATACATAATTATATTACATGGTATTCGTGGATGGCCACCACCTCTTTGTTGCCTAAAAGAGTTTAAAAACCTAGAGTGATGTCTATTGTATACATAGGGTAGAACGGATTTAACTGACAACTCATATAACTTATGATCTACATAACATTTTATACTTTTTTTTTTTAATCAATTTTTACAATATAGAACTATATTTAAAAAATGTTTTATGTTATTTTTTGCAATTACAAAATTTCTATAAATTTTATTGTTATAGTTCTTATTTACATTATTTCTAAAATTGTTATTTAATTTGTTCTTTCTATATTTATTAGTTCTATGATTCATTACTCTACGCTGATTATGGTTTGAATATGTCATTAAACTTTGGTTACCTACATAATTTATGTTTCTATAATCATTAAATTTAGCATTATGTTTTTTTAAAAGGGAATCTAATTCCATTCTCAAAATGCCTGCATCGCTATCGTCGTTTATCAAATTTGTATTTCTTTCAATTCTTAAAATATTTTCTATTAATTTATCTATAGTACTATTATCTAATGACCTAAATGTATTAATTATTTCAACTGGTAGTCTTTTAAAAAAATACTCTATGATATGTTTTTTCGACATGATACCTTCAAATCTACTACTTTCTGCTACTACTCTTACTAAAAAATTTTTAATCGATTCACTATCCGTCATTTTCATCATAATTAAATTTTTTCTTATTAAATTTAGATTATTGTAGGAGTTAAAATTAATTAATGACAGTTTAACATCTTCCCAAGTTAAATTTGTCGATCGATATTCTATAAATTCAAATATTTTAAGTGCATGATCCTGTAAATATAAGGGTAACATAGAAAGTTTTTTATTATCATCCCATTCATTCGCTTTTGCTACGTGATCGAAATACTTAAGATATTTATCTATATCTGTTTCCACATCTCCCGAATATGATAACGGTTCGATAAAATTTTGCATATTTTTATAAATTATACACTTATATAAAATAAAAAAAAAAAACCAAAATGGTAGAAATTATTATTACGCCCAAATAACAATAGACATTTCAGAAAAAATAATAATAAAAAATTTTACTTAAATAATCTAACTGTAACTCGTGTACACTTTAGGGGAATCGACTTCGTATATGAGTGCCTTAAAAAAAATAGAAAGTATATCTCGGAACTCGATTAAAATACAAAGACCGGCGCCTCCACCATATGTTAGGGGCTTGTTTAATAGTTGATAATCTTGGTCAAAACCAAGAATCGGAAGCTACCCGACGTCTGCCCAAATATCGTCCCTATCTCGTTAAATGAGTTTTAATTGCCTGAAGGAGACACAGGCAATCGTGTACCTTAGTTACAGGGGATAGATTATTAAATAAAATTAGACTATTGTTTTATGTCAACGACAAAGTAAAGTTATATTTTAGATGTTCAGTAAATATAAGTTATATGTAATGTACAATACGTCTGACCTGAATCCTAGTACAGTTGGTTAGTAGGTATATTCAAGTGAGACGGAGTTGGTTGGCTATGATGACAATTGGCGATAGACGGGTCGTTGAATAAAACAAGTTAAGTTATTTATTTATTTATTGAAACATTTAAACGGGCTAAGCCCAATATATACAAGGAAGACGACCATCAGTTTGCAGAGTAAAGTTTACATGTACTGTCTGACTTAAATTACAATAATATACATTACAATACAATAAAGTAAAATATAAATTGGTAGAACAGAATAAAATTACAATACGTACAATAATTATTAACTAATAATTACTTTGTTTTTAAGATATACATTAAAAGTGAATATATTATTACTAGTAAGCAAATCGACGTTAAATTTGTTTACATGGCACATTAACCTAGGAATGGGGGAATTTTTAGCATAGTTAGTACGATGGAATGGCGCGTAGAATGTATATAAGTTCTTGGTACGAAAAGTGGGTACTAGAAAATTAAATTTAATCAGTAGCTCAGGACAATTTATGATGCCATTTAATAACTTAAAAGTGAAACAAAGATCGAGTCTGATTCTCCTTGATTGTAAAGTTTCTAAATTGGTTAGTGTTAGTAATGGTAAATAAGATGTGTGTCGTTGGCGATGGATACCGCATTTAAATGCAACAAACCTTAGGAAGCGATTTTGAATCGCTTCAATATCATCATTGGGACCGGACATGTAGGGAGACCAAACGACATAGTTATAGTCCAGTATAGAACGAACAAATGAACAATAAAGAGATTTTATAGCAATAGGATTATTGAAATCAGAACAAGTTCTACCTACAAAACCTAACATAGAAGATGATTTGTTAATGATGTATGCATAATGATCATTAAACGATAGGGAAGGGTCAAAACAAACACCAAGATCTTTGATATTAAAAACTCTAGTTAATTCAGTATCATTTAAGTAATACTTATAAGTATGAGTTACACGTTTCCTTGAGTATGTCATAACTTTACATTTATCGGTATTAAAGTATAATTTATTAAGAACACACCAATTATTGAGTAGGTTAAGGTCATACTGGAGTAATTTTGTATCATTAGGAGTTTTAATTATTCGGAATATTTTTAAATCGTCTACAAAAAGAAGCAAGCGGGAATTTGTAATTTTTATGTCATTTATAAATATATTAAATAAAAGAGGAGCTAGGTGACAACCTTGTGGAATCCCAGAACTAGCATCGTATAGTGGTGATTCAAAAATTTTTACTTTTGTATATTGTTTTCAGTAATAAAAGAGACAAATGCCTTAGAGAAATCAGTATAGATTACATCAACTTGGTAGTTCTCACTAAATGCATCTAATACGTAATTTTGGAATAATAATAAATTGGTAGTAGTAGATCTACCGGAAAAAAAGCCATGTTGTTCATCAATAATTATATTTTTGAATAAGGGAGATAATTTTTTAACAATAATATTTTCAAACATTTTTGGAATGATGGACATAATGGATATCGGACGGTAATTTGTTATTAAACAATTATCACCTCCTTTAACATAACTCAATTTCCAGCGAATGGGAAAAATTCCAGATTTAAGTGACAAAATAAATAAATATAATAGTGGAACTGCAAGAACGAATTTACATTCTATAAAAATAAATTGGAAATATTATCTGGACCAGAACTCGTATTATTACTAAGATGGTTTATTTCGTACAGAATATCTGTTAGAGATAAAGTGCACGAATTAAAGTTAAGTAAGGAAAAATCGTTAGTAATTAAATTATTAGATGTAGTAGTGGGTGAGTTGAAGACACTAGAAAAGTATTTGGAAAAGCAATTTGAAATTTCATCACCACCTGAGAATTTATTATTATTATAAAACATGACGGCTGGAAGGGATGCATTAGACCGTTTATTGTTGACAAACTTCCAGAAATATTTTGGATTATTTGATACTGAGTTTTGTGCTTTTTGCATGTAGCTAGCGTAATCAATTTTATTTTGAATTTTACATTGTGCACGTAAATTAGAAAATATATTGTAATTATAACTGTTAGGGAACTGCTTAAATGTTTTATGAGCTATCTTTTTTGAGAATATTAAATTTTTTAATGCAGAACTAAACCATAACGGATAATTAGAAGAAAATTTCAATATTTTTGGGCAAGTAGAGTCTATAATTTCGTAGATAATTGAGTAAAAACTATCAACTATAATTATAGTCGCAGTTCCTAAAATCGTAAATTTTAGATTATTGAATAATGTATCAAATTTTGTTTCATGTGACTTAATAGAATCGCGACATGAATTTACTGATGAAATAATTTTATTTTGTGTGTTTTTTAATTCTGTTACCATATCCATGAGCTTATTTATTTTAGCGGCTAAGTTACCATTTGTAGTAGAGGCAGGTGTTGACTTCGGAGATGACATTGTTTCGTATGTAATTAGATTATATATAAGAGAGCAACACAAAGCGATAAACAAACAATCGTACTCTGCGATGGTCAATACACAACTGTTATAAATAATATAAATAAGATAAAAGTAATAGTATTGAAAACTATGTCTATAACGGCCACTCAAACACAACTACCCTTTGTTAGTTCGACGTCAGTAGCTCCGGGCTACAGACGAGTAGAATTGTCACATCAGCATCTCCCTCTATGCTAACTAATATGTATTACGAATTAAATAAATAGAAATAAAATGTGTGTAATATAAGTGGTGAGAACATAGTAATAAATGTTCTTACAATTTGAATGGCTCTGTTAACAAGCAAAATTGCCGAATATGGGAAGCTGAGAACCCAAGAGTTATTCAAAAACGAGAAATGCATCCTCAACAAGTTACGGTTTGTTGTTTGTAGGATGGTTGTGACCATTGGAAGTAGTGTGGTCAGGAATATAAAAAAGACATTGATTACGAATGTTACAAGAAGGGATTCGTAGTAGATACGAGATTTAGAAAAAGAAATAACATTACACTTTGAAAGATTAAGGGAGAGACCAAGACTGGATACCCAACTATAAAATATATTAAGTTTTTCTTGGAGTAGTAGACAGTCGGATTTAATATTAAGGAATATTTTAATGTCTTCTGCATATAAAATAAAACGGGATTTATGGAGGTGGTTTATAGAGTTATTAAAAATAGAGAATAAGAGAAGACTTAGGTGATTACCCTGAGAAATACTAGATGTAACGTGATATTATTCAGCTTAACAAATTGTTGTCTACCTGTAAGATACCATCCAAGCCATGATAAAAACCTATAAACTACTAATTCAAACATTTTAGAAATATGAGGAATGATAGATCTGTAATTTGTAATAAGAGAAGGATTTCCTGACTTAAGGATAGGTGTTACAGAACAAATTTTCCATAGTGAAGGAAAGGTACTATCATCTAAGGACTTAAGATAAGAAATAAAGGAAATAATAAAGAATTACAACAATTATAAAGAAGTCTTGCAGAGATACCATCAAGTCCAATTGAGGAAACGTTTTTTAATTTTTTAAGAGCTTCGAAGACATCATCAGGAATAAAAAGAAAATTAGAAGGCAGAGAGTATTTATAACTGTAGTTGCCACTAGGTGGAGTGACAGAAGTCATTGGAGGTTTTTAAAGTAGAAGAAAAATACTTGAAAATGAGCAGAAGAGTCAATAAGATTATTAGTTATCGTATTGAGATAAGTAGAGAAATTAGGCAGGGATGACTGTTGCTCAAGTTCATTGATATATTTCCAAAAGGTAAGTGGAGACAAAAAGAATGAGTGCTCAGCAGAAGTAACATAAGCTTGATGATTAAGTTTAGATAATCGCTTACATTTTGTGATATTCTACGAAAATATTATGATTCGTAATTCATTAGTAATGAATCAATTTTGGGTGATACTATCATAATATGATATCATTATCATATTAAGATAAGGCATTCCATTATAATGATTTTTATAAAACTGTTTTATTGTTATTAATATTTGTAAGTAGTATTAAATTAGTATTTTTGGATAAATATATTACTTCAGTTATAAAAACGAAGTTCTTGGATGTTTTCATAAAAATAAATAATAAATTTATGTTAAAATTTGCTTTACGCTTTATAATGTAAAATATAAATAGGATGTCAGACAACAGTATTGAAGAGTCATTAATGAATTATCAAGATCAAGTAATTTTATTTGTATTTTTCTTAATAGTAATTAGTAGAATATGGAAATTTATGCATTTATAAAATTTGTTCGGAACACTTCCAAGAGAGTGAACTCCTTGAAAATTTATCATAAGTATATGCAGTACCACAGGAATACTTTTAATTTAATGAGGGGTGTACCCCAACACCGCCAAAACTAAAATTCAAATAAAATATACATTGATTAGGATTAAGAAAAACAAAAATTAATATCTATTAATAATACTTAATTGATATACTTGTGTTCACTAAAATAAATTTTTAAAATACATAAAGTCAAGGACCTTAGTAATTAGTAATAAAAAATTAGTTAAAATAAAAATAAAAATAATTGTTATTAGCATCTGTCTATTTTTAATTTATGAGATCTAGCTGTAATAATATATTTTTCTTGATATGATTTGATTTAAATTATTAATATTTTCAGCTGACACAGGTAGAAAATGCAATAAAACAATCAAAATGTAGAGATCAGTTAAATGAATTGTTATCATTAAAAAATAGCTTAAATGAGTTAATAGAATTAACAAGTGAAAATAGTACTTCTAGTCAAACTAAGAATGATGATGTTTTAGATGAAGAGTACGCTTTATTCAAGGTTTATTTATTTTATTTCAATTTTTATGTTTACACTATAGTTTAGAATTTTCATGAACACAATATATTAAAATTTTTAGGCAGAAATTGATGAATCATATAACAACATTAACAGCTGTGATGAGGAGACATCTTCATGCGAGATTATAAATAATTCTAATGAAGAAAGCGTATGTAATTAACTAGTTAATAAGTAATTATATTGAAGTATAAATTAAAAATTTATGATTTTATAACAAACTGTTTTGAGTTCATAAAAGCCTTAAAAAAACTCATTTTAAAGAAGATTATAATTTTGTTATTACAGATTTAGAAAGAATATAAACCTATTAAATCAGTATTTTGTTAACATGAAGAATTCTAAAGCTTATGTATACAGAGTGATCGGTTTATTATAAATCAATCAATTTATCTTGATTTATCAGCTAATAATTACTTTTTAGAATCATCCTTTGTAACTTAATGTGGTGTCAACTTAATTTTTTTAAATGGATATAACTAGCTTATAAAATAAAAAATGATCTAGTTAATAAAATGACTGGTCTAGAATAACTTCTGGACCAGTACTTTGAATGTTATATTCATTTTCATACCTAATGATAAAAATAGCAGCATTTATTTCTCACTACCATTAATTTAATTTGTTAATAACTTCTGAAATACTGGTCCAAAAGTTGTTATCAATCAGTCATTTTCTAAATTAGATTATTTCCTATTTTATAAGATAGTTAATATGTATGTAGCCATTTAAAAGAATAAACTTTCTAAAAAAATAATGTTTATCTAATAAGTTACGAGTATTTTTTTAATATTGAAATGTTTGAATATAATGATCATATATATTATTATATTAGGGTAAAAACATATTTTTGCTTCTTATGAACAATTTAACTTTTTTAATAAAAAAACATTTTTCATCAACTAAATAACTGCAAACATTTTTTCAATATTTTACAAAAAAAAAAGAAAGTGTATTATTTTTTAATTAGTTGTACTATTATTTATTAATATGTTTTTTTATTGATTAAATAGGTAAAAAATAATCAGAATACTGTTTTTGAACTTAAATCAGATGATTCAAATGAATGTACCATTATAGAAAATAAAATTGATGAATCTACAGGAATCGAAGTAAAAATTTTATATCGAAAATAATTACTCTTTTTTTTATTAATAAAAACATTTTTTTAGATTTTATACTCGCTGATAGAATATATTGAAATTTTTTATTTGTATAATTTGATCATTTTTTTATAGAATGAATTAGAAAATTTACGAGGTTCCAAGTGTCAAGCACCATTTGATAATGGTTATGGAAGTAAGAGCTATCATAATGCACTTGTCATGTCGGTTCAAATAATTGATACAACAAATTCACAATCATTAGATAACATAATGGTTAGATTTTAATTTATTTTATCATTTAATACTTATACTCCCTTATAACAACTTCCAGGTTACTGTACTTTATACAAATCCTACATGTAATCAGATGTTACCTTGTCAGTTTTTTTTAAATGGTGAATGTAAATATTCTAAAGAACAATGTTATTTTTCTCATGGTACCAAAGTACCACTTTCAAGTCTTACAGAATTCAAGTATTAGTTAAAATTTAAGTTATTATTTAAATCTTATATTTTATATAAAATATTATTTTTAGAGAGCCAAATTTTGAAAAGTTAAAAAAAGGTAGCTTAGTATTGGCTAAAACTTCTGAAGGAATTTGGGCTAGAGCTATTATTTTAGATCTAGTACACAGCACATCTACTAATGATGGTATTTGTGTTGTTCGGTATGAAACTAAAAGTTTTGGAGAAACAGAAGTGTCAATGCAAAATATATATCCATTAGAAGGAACTGGTATATAGTATATTTATAATTTTTAAAAATTACAACTATTTTATATTTTTAAAAAATTTAAACTAAATTGCTAAGACGTATTAACTCAATATTAATTTTTATATAATTGATGATTATTTTCCATCATTCAAATGAAAGTAGGGTAATTAATCTCATAACAATTTTCAGATGATGGTGACATACATGAAAGCTCTTCAGATAGTGATGATGGAAGCAATATTAAAATGCGTGATTCAGCTATTGTAAATAATGTATTACTTAGCTCTCAACCTATTGAAGCACTGGGAAGTTGGGAAAAACATACCAAAGTATTTTGAATTGTAGTTGGATAATTTCAAATTAATGTATAAAATTTATCTTTAATTTAAATATTATGTTATTAGGGCATAGGATCAAAATTGATGACTAAGATGGGCTACATTATGGGAGCTGGTTTGGGGAAAAACGGTGAAGGTCGAATTGAACCGGTAGAAGCTATTGTTCTACCAAAAGGAAAATCATTGGGTATAAGAATTACAACAAAATAATATTAGTGTATATTAATCACAATAGAATTGACTTACAATATTTTTGTGAAAACTGTATTAATGATTTAAATCAGTTTATCCAGCAACCCACAGTCCCCGAAATATATTTCTGTGTTCTTCTCAATAGTACCAACATGTAGAATATATTTCATTTTATTTATATGTGGCTTTTATACTTATAAAATGCATTAAATGCATTAAATGTGTTATTATGTTTTTTTAATTCATAAATTCCCTTTTTTTATTCAAAAAATTAAATTATTGTTTTTATAATTTAAATTACAGTCAAATAATGTAATTTAATTTGAAATATTATGTCAGTATATATGCTAATATTATATTTTAATGGAATTTTTTTTGTGGCCCTAGGTGAAAAAATTAATAAAAATATTGTCAGTGTATGTCAAAAAGTTGCTGACCCTTATCTAGATAATTTACAATTTAATTGTCGTTTATAATTTTTATTCAGATCATTGTATGGTGGCCAAAAATTCGTCCAAGGTTAGAGATCTTCAGAAAAAGCGTAAAAAACAAATGAATATTGAGCGTTGTATGAAAAAATCTTATGAAAAAGCTTCTCATAAGCCACAAGATATATTTACATTCCTCAATAGTAGATTGAGTAAGTATTTGTTATAGATGTGTATATTTCACATTTCAAATATCATTTAAGTTATATATGAATTATTTTTTTATTTTAACTAATGAATTATAGTTATTTTATGCTTTTTTTTCTCGTCTAGTTCATATTAGTTACCAATTCTTGTTAACAATAAAATAATCATAAACACTCCTTTAATAATTTTTGGTTGTGCCCCTATTACTAAGGATCAACTACTCTATTTTCAGATAATCAAAAAATTAGCAAAGATTTACAAGTTGTTGATGAGAAAAAAATTAAGCTATCAACTACCCATGATTTAAATGTACGCAGTTTAAAAATTGAAGAAGATATTAAACGGCAACAATTAGTTATTAATGAGTTAAATTATAAATTAAAGAATAGCAGTCTAGATTCAACTCAACGAAACATGGTCAACCAAAAATTAAATGAAGCAAATAGTAATTTAAAAAAATTACAAGCTGAAGAAAAGTCTATTAAAAAGGAACACAAACATAGGGAAACTCATAAAAAAATGACCACTTTTTAAACATAATAATTAGATTGTGTATATTTAATTATTAAATAGTATTTAATGCTTCTAAAAAAATTTTCTTTGTTTGAAGTTCCTGAACATTTTTTAATTCATATAAAATGTTCTGAGTTTCTTCTGGTACAGCAGATTTTAATAATCTTATACAGTCTACAATAGCTGTCACATTATCCTCATTTGGAGGCAAGTTGCATTTGTCTTCATCATAGAGCGCTTTGATTAATATTGATAATAAATCCTTCCAATCAGAATTTTTTCTTGGCCAAGTTTGAAGTATAAATATTTTTATAGTCTAAATTCAATATATGATAATTATATTATTACTTAGTTTCTAATAAAAATAAATAATAACAGTGTTTATATTTACTTGCACAGTTTTTAATTTTGAGTGATTGTATGTAATGTACTCAGCAAATAATGGTATTAAACGTTGAGACCATCGAATTCCAGAAAATCCAATTGACTCGATTAATAAAGGAAAAATAGTTGCATACTTTTCTATTGGTTCACTTTTTGTTTCAAGTTCCATTCTTGGGAGTAGTATACTTAAAATATCATCGAATTTATTCCACTAAATATTAAAATTCAATACTTTTTTACTTAATAATTTCTAAATTATTTAAAAAAAACTGTACCTCCAAATCGTTTTTTCCAGTTACATGCTTCAATTGCAATTTCGATATTAAAAATAGTAAACACTTAAGTACATGTGGTATCATATGATATTCAGAAGAGAGCAATCTAGATTCAAATGATTTAATAAGTACTTTATCATGACCACTCATGGATAATTCTGCAGAAGGCTAAACAAAGAAAAAACTTTGTATATACTTGAGCTTTAAAAAAAGTGAACAGAATACTAACAGTATTTTCAATTATATGTTCAAATGCATCTAATGCAATATTTATGTTTGAATCATTGTAATCGTCAAACATTTTTAAAGGTAATGGCATAAGTATATATAGTAAAGAATTTAACTGTGGCATCTAAAATAATATTATACAAATATAAAAGGAAATTCACAGATAATTTTACATTCTTAAATAAAAAAAATTACTTTTAAACATTTTAAAATCCACATGAAACACTCGACAGCTGCAGGATTTTTCTTCCAGTTTTCTTTATCTAATTTTTTTGAACATAAACTAAACAGTACCTTTGATATGTCAATCATATTAAATAAATCATCTAGTCTACTAGCTTCAAATAAACTACATAGTTGTTTTAAACATAAATTTGCTTTTGAATAACATTCAGTATTACTCCAAATAAAATTTGATTGACTATGTTCACCACACAGATGAAAGCAAGAGCTTATTAATTCATAAGTATATCCTGACAATTGTGATTTATTTTTGAGAAGAAATTTTAATTGAGAATTTAAATTACTCAGGGTGAATTGAGCAATTACTACATGTTCCTTTAATTTTGTATTACGATCATCTAATTTATATTCATCAAAGGGAACTTCAGGTGCACATCCAGAAATTATATCATTTATTAATTGATTTAAATTCAATAAATTTTTTTTACCACTTATCATTTGTGCCATATTGTAACTTTCCTAAATTAAAAAAGTAATAATAAATTTATGGCTATTTTTAATTAAAAAATGGAATATTAATTCTAATAAACAAATAAAACTTTTTATTTATAAATTAAAATTTATTTTAAAATAGTTATAATCAAAACAATGTTTTATTAGTATATACTAATTTTGGACTTCATGAGAATTAACTTGAACTAAATCATGGATACCATCATTTTTAACATTAAATATAAAAAAAGTATTTATATTATTTTTAGTAACATAAACAGAAGCATGATATCTTTGACTAAATTTTTCAAATAGAATTTTTCGACTAATAAGACTTGAAGAAACTTCATTACGTTTTGAATGGAAGTAACCATGTTTAGTAAATATTATAGGTATTTTAAAATCTTGAACACATAATTTTAGAGTGGAAATCATTTTCTCTGTATATTTATCCATATACTTTTCACCGCCAGATATTGAATCTTGCCAATAATTAGCAGATACACTATCTAAAATTATTAAACCAACAGAGCTGTGCTCAGTTAAAAATATTTTTAACCTTTGTAAAGTCACATAAAGAGTTGAACTATCACATGAATTAATGACAGTTAGTTTTTCTAAACAAGCATTCAAAAGTTCTGAGTTTGCATCTTTTATTATACGATTGATAATATCAACAAGTTTAGAAATATTAAACTGTCCATCCAGATCAATGTAAATAACACCAGCATCTATACCATTATAGTTTTGAGGAATAATACACTTGGCCACACATTCAGTTAAAAATAAAGTTTTTCCTGTAGATGTATTTCCAGATATTTCTATGATTTCATTAGTTAGGTTATTTGGTAGTAAAGGACTTAAATTTAAAATCACAGGTCTAGATTTAAGTCGTGCTATTAATTGTAATCCTGATTCGGCATTATATTTAAAGGCCATATTTTACCTATATCATTTATTAATTTTTGGTACTACTTAGTGCCAGATTCAGCTTAAGATCCTTTAATGACTTTTCACCGTAATTTTGCAGTTTTTTTATAGAATACTAAAAAGAGAAAAAGACATTTTAATTTTTATAGTTTAACTATATAAAACTTTAAGTTAAATATTAATTGTAAGCTAAATTGTTGAAAAAATATACTTGTTATTTTTCAATAAAAAAAGCTGTATACCAGTAAAAATTAAGTTTAATAAAAATATATGAAAAGTAAAACAATTCTTAAATTTTTTATTACTTCACCTCATCAGTTTCAAGTTTGTACTTTTTGAAATCACTTTTCACCCAAAAAATATATTGAGTTCTATCATTTTCTAATGGAATTTTTTTGATTTCTCTTAAAAATTCTCTATACAATTTCAAAGTTTTTTGGCGTAATATAAACTAAAACACAGTATAAATAATACTATTAAATATAAAGTGTGAAATATACAATTTTGAAATCAATTTGAGGAGTTAATATTAATAATAATGTAACAGTAAAATCATTAGAATTTATAAAAGTATACAATTTACAATTTGATCATCTTAAATACATTTTTTTTACATTAAGAACACTATATGTTTATATAAGTATTTCTAGTATTAGAAATCAGCCATTTTTCAGGGGGGACGAGATATAATTATTTCCTCAAAGAAAGATGTTTTTTATGAGCTTGATTAATTTTGTTGGTAAAGGATTCAGCCCCCTCAGTGCTGACGCGAAGTCGTCATGAGCAAGGCATGAGCCAGGCTCCCACATTTTAAGAAAAGTAACATAGTAGTATCCTAGTTAGTTGTTTTTCAAGGGGATATACATAAGAAAATTTTTTATTACTCCTACCAAAGGAAAAAAGTGATTATCTTTATCAAGTAATAATTTTTACTGGGAGATCCTATTCCATTCAAACTCCTTTCTGGCACAGGAACCCTGCAATTATGATTTGTTATGAGCCCTACAAAACCTAGAGCCAGCACAGAGTAATTTTTTATAACACTAATAACACATTAAATTTATTTTTAAGTATGCAAATATACATCTTAGAAAGTTAAGAGAATTTTAACAATAAATTAGTATGAAAAATTGTCTATTTTACCTGTTTCAAATTTAAAACTTTATTACTCATTATTTCATCTAAAACTTCGATTTAATGATAATTTTCATCATGAAAACCGATTGAGACTTGATACAACAATATTCAACAAAGTGAGTAAGCATCTGATAAAGAAAATATAGCACCACAAATTTGGTATTAATGATAAAATCACAAAATAGTAAAATCGGAATAATTTTTTGAATGAATTATTAAATTAAAAAAAATTATACATTATTAATCTCATTCCTAAGTTGAAATTTAGAAATAATGAAATTTATATATATATTAATGGTATTAAATATGAACTACAACTGTAAGATCTACAAACAATAATATTTACTTTGTGTTTTTTAATTTTGTTTGGTTAATTCTATTTTTGTAAGAGGTAAATTATCAATGAATTATTAAAAAATATAGAAGATAAATAATTAAATAAACGTAATATTTATCTCACCGCAGACGTTCATTAAATTTTAAAATTGATTATTTATATGAGTTAATCAATATGACTTAATCATTAATTTCATCTTGATTATTTCATTTTTTGTAGCGTTCGGCAAGATGGGTTTATCTACCTTAATGTTATCGCGGAATAGGCACTATCTATTTAATTAAGAAACCCGCCATCCATAAATGTCACATTATCTCTACTATCTGGTGATAGTACTCTGCTAAAAATTTTTTTTGAGTGGACTGGGGAGATGACAACCTCATTTACTCTTGCGCAAGTGAAGCTGAGTTTGGGGTTCGTGTTCTATAGATAACTGAATATATCAGTGTGTAATATATTTTTACATTAAATAATCTTGCACTATCCCTAGCAATTTCACTGTAGTGTTTAAGAAAATTCACTAATTCAATGCACAGATATAATATTTATAAAACCTAATTTTTATAATTGAAAAAATATTTCTAATTATTCAGATTAAACCCAGAAGGTGGTATTATTGATTTTTCTTCAGCTCTTTTAATTATTTCTTTTATAAACAAGGATTTGAAACACTGAAACTATTGAGTTGTTAATGCAATATTTTTTTAATGCACTGAAGTAGCTAGAACAAGAATACAAAATGAAAAAAATGTTGAAATTAGTTAAAGGGGGGAAGAGAGAAGACAAAAGTGGTGCCAATACACCTTCAGGTGATGAGCTTGACGATGAATTAGAAAGTTCTAAATACTGCTATAAAATCGATTCAGACGTTGAAGACAAAATGAGTAGGTTACACAAAGCTGCTTGGCATGGAAGCTTGGATAAAGTGAAAACTTTAGTACTTAAAAAAGCAGCAGATATAAGTAGTACTGATAGTTTTGGTCGAACACCACTTCACTTAGCCATGGCAAAAGGTTATTATAATATTGCTTGGGTGCTGTTGAACCATAACGCTAACTTAGAATGTATTGATTGTGATGGGTATACACCATTCTTAAAGGTATCTTTTTGGAATTAACATTTTTGAATTAGTTAGTTGGAAAAAATTTAGCTATTTTATTATTTTTTTGTAATAAATGGTTTACTGTAGAACATCAATTAATTAATATTAGTTTAAATTATAATAAAAACGTGGGCATAAAATATTAAAAAATTTTATTTATAGGTATTTATAGTAAAAAAATTAAGTTATTAATAAATATTTATTTATTTATTAAAAAATTATAAATACGTAAACATTAAATATTTTATTTTAGATTGGTAAAAGATAAAACACATGTCAAAACCATAATTTTATATTTTTTGTACTAATTAAGTTCCGTGAAAAAATAAAAATTATTTTTATTATATTTTATATTATTGTATTTAAATTTATAGTTATTTTTTTAGCATTATTACATGTTTAATGAAGCATTTCTAATATCTATATGTTGAACATTTTGTATAATATAGTAAATATAGAATTTTTTATGCATGTATTTTATAAAGTATAAAACCAAATTCAGAGATGATAAGTATTTATTTTTATTATTATTGTTTTAAGCTTTATTTTATTCAATACATTTTGCTTTATCAAAGAATATTTATTATAACACACACTATATTAACCTAATTACTTTTAATTGCTTATGCTTTTGTTTTTACCCTACTAATTTAGTTTAGATAAGCTTTATTTTTATGTGTTAATTAATTTTTAACATGTTTTAAGTTCAAATTATGTAGTATTGAATAAAAATAATTTTGACAGTAATTAAAAAATTAATTTGATAAATGTCTACATTAACTACAATACTTGTCACTATTTATCTAATAATTTTTGAAAAATATTATTAGACTTCATAAATAATTTTTAAGCATTCATTCAAATAAAAAAAAAATGTCTTCTAAAATTAATAATAAATTAAGACATTATCTAAATTGGTCCCTTATTGTGTTCATATCAGTGGCATTACTATGAAAGGTATGAGAAAAATATCCATACACCTCATATTAATAAGTATGTATTACTTATACTTGTTAATATAAAAAACCACATTGTATAGGTATCAAAAAAAATTCTGTTATAATAATTTTTTAGATGATGTCAGAACAATTTTTTTTATATATTCTTCTGGGACAAAATTCCTGGTCATGGTATGTGAATTCAATGAAAAACATTGTATTAATATTTAATGCTATTTAAACATTTGAATAAAAATTATTTACCATTTTGATCAATAATATTATTTTTATAACATTAATTAAACTAATATCAATCAATTAAAAAACTTATTTTTTTTCCATTCTTAATATTTATTCAATTTTTTTTTTTAACACTAAGAGATAATATACTTTATGTGAATTCTTAAAAAAATTTTATTTCCTTTATTATTTTACAAGTACAAATTTTGCACTTACATCTTTATAGGCTGTAGAATGTGGGCAAAAAGNAAATTTTGCACTTGCATCTTTATAGGCTGTAGAATGTGGGCAAAAAGAATGTGTGCAACTAATTTTGGAAAGAGGTGCTGATGTAACTTGCACAGACACTAATAAAAATACTGCTTTACATTTAGCTACTAAACAAGGATCATTTACTATGATATCTATGCTTCTTAAAAAAGGAATCAGTATAAATGCACAAAATGCTGTAAGTATAATTAGATGCACAGTAATATTTATTAATAAAACTACTAGCAATAAACAATGAAATTATCATTTAAATTGTAAAATAAGTTAGAGGATTTATGTAACTGCATTTAATATTTTACGTTACTTCAAATTAAATGTTCATTGATAATTTATACATTTTTATAACAGGCAGGAGAGTCAGTTTTACATGTAGCCTGTTCTACAGAGAAACGTAATTTAATAGAATTTATAATTGACAATGGAGCTTTTGTAAACATAATAGACAAACAAGGACAGACTCCTTTGATGTTAGTTGCTAAGCTTGGTAATATGTCTATAATTGATTTATTACTAGAAAAAGGAAGTCATCTTGAATCATATGATATAAATGGTAATTTATAATTTTTGAATATTCTAAAAATGAATTAGTATTATAAAATGTATTTTATTATTAGGGCTTACAGCCAAAGATTATGCTTCTAAAGCAGGACACTCTAAAGTTGTGAAGCAGCTTTCAATGCAAAAAATGAGTATTATGGCTAGAACTAGGTCAAAAGAAAATGTTTTGGATGATTCAGATCAAGTTGAAAAATTGTCAGTCAAAGAGGAACAAAAGATAAATGACAATTTTTGTAACGAAAAATCAACTTCTAAGGAAAATATTAATGAAACTCATAATGATGGAAAAAGTAATAGTGTAACCGATAATGTGATTCATATTTTTACTAACCATGGAGGTAAAAAAAGTGTACTAAATGAACTGATGGATATTAAAGAAAAATATTTAACTAGTAATGATGTAGAAAATAATAGTATGACCATTAATGAAATTCATAATTTTGTTACACCCGATAGTAAAAAAATTATCTCAAACGAACAAAATGATTTTGAAGGAAAAGTTATAACTAATAATATTATGCCATTAAAAGATGAAGAATCAGTTTCTCAGTGTACAATGCCACCACCTATGGATCCATCTAGGAGCTGGGATTTTATTCAAGCTAGTATTAAACCGACTGATGAAATTAATGATAAGGTTGATGTAGAAATTGAAGAAAATAATAGTCAAATTCCTAAACCACTTGTTTGCCCATCGAATCCTGATGATTCTGAATTGGAATGGGGAAGTGATGAAAGTCTACCTACTGATCCAAACCAATCATGTTCCAATATTGACTTAAAAAGTGTTAGCAAAAAGGTAAATACACTTTACAGTATAGTTACAGAAGCGTCATTAATGAGTAAAAATAAAGATATAGTTTTAAACTCAGCAGAAAATATTATAGAAAATACTCTCCCTAATAGTATTAAACATGTAAGAAATAAATCTAATACTTCATTAGAGACTGCTAAGTTAACTATACCATCAGATGTAGATAAAGCTTTGCTTCAACTTAGTCCGGAGATGAATTTTGCTCATTCATCATTTGGAAAAAGTAAATCATTTAATGAACATGTTTCTATTGAAACTCCTGAAATTTTACAAGAACTTGAGCGCTCAAAATCATTATGTTTAGAGTTAAAAATTGATGATTCTGATAATCTACAGAAAGATTCTGACAGTCAAAGTGATGATAGTTTACGTTCCAAACGAAGTCTTCTATTATCAATGAGAATGCCTAAAGTGCATGATGATAATCATGATGAAGTACACTTAGATATTAAAGATAATGAGACCTCTGAAGATGAAAGTCTTCATTACTGGTATAGTCCTCATAAAAAGTGCGATAAAATTGTACAGCAAGATACAGTAATTAAAAAAAATAGTAAATCTGACAACAGTGGGTAAGATATATTATATTATGAATTTATAATTAATTTCTTCTTCTTTTTCCTTGCCTTAATTTCAACTACTTGAGATTAAGGTTTACTTGGGATAACTATTTGGTCAGCCACCCTTATCCTAAACTTCCACTAGACACGATCTCCTACATCATCTACACTCACATCAACTGTCCTCATATAGCATTCAATAGCATCCCTCCATCTCTTTTTTGGTCTTCCTCTACCTCTTCTTCCTTCAACATTCATTTCTATAACTGTTCTTACAGCTTCCTATTCTTCTCTCCTCATAAAATGACCAAACCATCTAAGTCTATTTTCTCTCATCTTATCTACGATTTACGCTACATCTATACTCCCTCTTATATGCTCGTTCCTTATCCTATCTTCTCTAGTCACTCTACTCATTCATCTAAGCATTCTCATCTCTGCTACCCTTATTCTCTGCTCTACTTTCTTATCAACCATCCAACATTCTGAATCATACATCATAGTTGGCCTCACTACAGTCTTGTAGAATTTACCTTTCTGCCTCATTGGAATTCTTTTATCACATAAGACGCCAGACACTTCTTTCCACTTCAACTACCCGCACTTAATCCTGTGTCTTACATCCTCGTCAATACCACAGCTCTTTTGCACAAATGACCCTAAATACTTAAAACTCTCCACCGTTTCAATCCCGTCCTCACCTATTATCACTGATCTCCTCATTTCACCTACCTCGTTTTCTGCTTCGTCAAACTCGTACTCTATATACTCTGTCTTTCGCCTACTTATTCTTAAACCCTTTTCTTCAAGATTTGATCTCCACACCTCTAGCCTTTGATTATTTCCTTCCTATTTTCTCCTATTAACACTATATCGACAGCAAACAACATGCACCAGGGCACCTCTCCTTGTATTTCTCTAGTAATTTTATTCAGCACTATAGAGAATAAGTAAGGGCTTAAAGCAGAATCTTGGTGCACTTCTACTCTTACCCGAAAATCTTCTGTTATTCCTCCTATGCTTTTTACCCTGGTACAAGTGCCATCATACATATCTTCTATTATATTAATGTACCACTTTAAAATCTCTATCGGTACTCTATCAGACACTTTCTCCAAATCTATAAATATCATACACAGCTTTTTCTTCTTTTTCCTAAAATTTTCTATTAGTTGCCTCACACAAAATACTGGCTCCATTGTTGACTTACCAGGCATCAATCCAAACTGATTTTTAGATACCGATGTCTCATTTCTTATTCTATTGTCTATTACCTTTTCCCAATTTTTCATACTATGACTCATAAGCTTAATGCCTCTATAATTTCCACACTCCTGTATGTCACCTTTACCTTTAAATATCGGCACCACAATACTATTCCTCCATTCATTTGGAATTTTCCCTTCTAATAAGATTTTATTTAAAAGTTCCTTCATTCACCGCCTAATATTTTCCATAATTCTACTGCCACTTCATCTGATCCTACTGTTTTATTCTTTTTCATTGATGCCACAGCCTCCCATACCTCTTTCTCACTAAATAAATCTACCAGTCCCTCATTCCACGAGATATCCTCTAATGTCTCTTTTGGGTACTCCTCATTCAGTAATTTTTCAAAATACTCTTTCCACCTTTTTTTCACATCATCATCACTTAAGATTACCTCATTATCAACACTTTTTATATACCTTATATAATGATAATCTTTAGACCTTTTCTCTCTTACTTTTGCAAGTCTATAGATTTATTTCTCGTCTTCCTTAGTTCCTAGCCTATCATACAACTCGTCATACTTCTTAAACTTCGCCTTACAGGTTTGAGTGCATGGGCATTATGTCCACCTCAATAATAACTAAACTTCGCCTAACTTATTGTACACTTGGTTTCTTTGCACTTGCGTTTATACTCTATCCAATCTTCTCTCCTTTTGCTCTTCTGCCATACTTTGAATTGTTTTTTCTTACTTTCTATGATTTTTTGAACGTCCTCATCCCATCACTAGGTTTCCTTATTTCCTGGCATTCTACTTCTACTCTCACCAATTATCTCCTTTGCAGTACTCTTTACACAACTAGCAAATCTATTCCACACATCATTTATGTCTCCTTCGACATTCCACACCGTCCTCTCTTTTACTGTCTTTACAAACTCTTTTTCATTTTCCCCTTTTAATTTCCACCACCGGATTTTTGATTTTTCCCACGTATTCCTTCTATTTTTGTATATATTCTTCCCGGTACACCACACCTTCATTACCATAAGTTGTGTAGTAACACTTTCGCCTGATATAACTTTACAATCTTTTACTCGCTTTACGCTCTCTCTCTCTTCCACATAAAATAAAATGTGATCTATTCCTCCCATTCTTATAAGTTATATAATATTCTTCCCTCTTTCTAAAATAAATATTAACCACAGAAAGTTCATACGATACTGCAAAATCCTGGATTCTTTCTCAGCCTCATTTTTCCTATTAAAACCATACCGTCTATGTACTCTTTCGTATCCTCATGTCTCATTACCTACATGTTCATTCATATCTCCACCTATTACCGCATTCTCATTGCCAGGTACCCCTTGCATCACCTCATCCATCTCTCACCAAAACACTTCCTTGTCTATTTCATCGTATCCAAATTTTGGTGCATAGGTATATATTACATTCAGGACTTTTTCCTCGAATATAAATTTTAAGACTATAATTCTGTCACTTTTTCTAGCTACTTCTACTACTTTACTTTTCATCTCCTCATCCATTATTATCCCTACACCATTTTTTGTACTAGACTTACCTGAGTATATTATTTACCAGTTAATGTTCCAACATTCCAAGTACCTATTCTTACTTTGTATCTATCTTTCTCCCTTATACAAGAGTCCAGCCTAGAGTTAAGTGGTGATGTCCCTACAACGTTGACACTACAAGCTTAGGGTAGACCTATACATGACTGGTGAAACAGCTACCGCACAAGTTGTCCGGCTGGCATCAAACACTTCATTACTTAGACCTTCTCCGTTTTTAATTACTTTATTCCCTCTCAATAGTTGCCCTCGTGCACATCCTAGATGGGACAATTCGCTTAAGTTTTATTCAGGACACCTCATACTATTTGACAATAAAAATTGTACACCGGCTGTCGACCTGACGCAACCGCATTAGTCGGCTCTTACGACTGGCAGATGGGGCGTGGAAGTATTCTTATCCCCTAACCACAGGGAAAATTTATAACTAATTTATTATTTTAATTTAATTTAATGATTTTTAATTTTCCATATTATCTTTCAAAATTCCACATCTCTTAATAATAACTTTATGTTTTGTTTTACCAGAAGGTAATCCCAAATTTTCAATCTAAAAAAAATATTCCCATAACAAAAATTAATAAAATTACTTAAAAGTTGAAAATGTTTTATAAATAAATTATTGTTTGATCTCACCATTCTTAAGATACGTAATCCATTAGTAATTCTTCCAAAAACAACATTATGTCCATCTAATGTCTTTAAAGGCTTGAAGGTTATAAGAAACTGAGAGTTATTTAAATTTTCTTCAATATTATACATTGATAAGACTCCTACCATCCAAGTAAAATTTAATTTTGAATAAACAATTAATTTAAATAGACAAATTTTTATACCAGGTAGGCAATGACTCAAAACATAATTTTCATCAGTAAAGTTATTGTCATGAAATGATAATCCTTCAAATCCATTTAAAAATTGAATATTGCCTCCTAAGCAAAACAAATCTGGTACTATACGAAATATCTGGGTAACATTGTAACTATATTTTGCATGTTCAAAGTATAATTTTTTAAATTTTTGAACTGTAATTGGTACAATACTATCATACAGTATAATATTTATCCGACCAATCATTTTGTTAATTGACAAATCTTGGATATCCATAAAAATCCTTGATAAAATTACTAATTTAATATTTTTGTTTACTTATAATCATTATATATATATATATTGTTGCATTAAATAATACACATTTTAAAGTTCAATGACCTTGAATTTTTTATCTGAATATCTTTTGGTATTGTTATCTTAGATATTAAAGGGTCAATTTCTCTCATTTTACTTTTTCCATAATTTTTTGAATATTTTGATAAAAACTTTAACCTTTTAGAGTGTTCTCTTTGATGCTTTAATAGTTCATCAGTACTAATCTGAGACTTCTAAGATGAAATTATATCAAATATTTAAATTCAAGAATATCTTTTTAAACTTACTGCATTAACTATTTTAGATAAAAGTTCTATGTTATCCCTGTAGATTTTACGATTTCTTAAAATTATAGATTCAAAATTATTTGTCTTATTATCCATTGAAACTGGTTTATAACAATCAGTTTTACCCTTTAATAATAAGCATTTATTAATTTGATGTGTATATCTTATATAATCTCTCTAACATTCAAGTATAACTTCACTTATTGATTTTATTATAAAATATTATTTATTTATATTGGAAGCTTAATAAATATAATTAATGTAATTATAAGTGATACTAAAAAACTTATTGTTTTAGTCATTCTGATCATATTTTGGATGTATAAATTATCATGATAACGTCTATAAATATTTGTATTCTTCAAAAAATTGTTTTATAATTTATTTGTAATTACCTTTGTACGATTTAAAATATTTATATTCCTAATTAATTTGAAATTCTCATCTTCTATTTTTGCTAGTTGCATAGCATTTTGTTCAATTTTTCCTATCTGGTAGTAAGCTCCAATATTCAGTATAGGTGCCTTATTATCAATTTTGGGTTTAGCATTATCAACCTAATTATAAAAATTAAAATATTATTAATCTATTATATGAAAAATGTATTAATTGCTAACTAGTAACTGGATTTAGTGCCCAATTATTTCAATCTTTAGGGCAACTACAAAACAAATACTGTTTAAATTTTTTTAAGATATATAGGACAATTTATGACTAATGACTTCGGAAAATCTACATTATATATCATAAAACTTGAATGTGCTTATTTATCTAGTTAAATTTTTGTTTTTAGTTCTATTTGTCTATATTGATTACTCATGTGGTGTGACAGATGAATTTATTTTGGTGTCAACCATTGATATTAATACTCACATTATTTAGGTGTTGTTGAAAAAGTAGTGTTTCTTGCCAAGTAGATCTATTAGTAAATTTGTTCATAACTTATATCCTTTTATAATTATAAATTAAATGGAAATTTTATATATGACACAAAATTATTTATATTATTACAAAATTATTTTAGTTTATTTATAAATAAATGGGAAAAGTTAAATGTATTTTTAGTATTATGAAAAATAAACAAAAATTTAATATGATGTGTTAGTATTATATTTATATATTGATGTTACTAAGATACATTGTATTTTATTCAACTTTTAAGGTCTGAAGAAGAAATTGATTTGGTTGAACCTCAACAAGGTGGTAATATATTACATTATTCAAATTTTTAATTATTAAGTACATTAACAATTTTTTTATTCATAAGATTTCTTATCTTAGGTGAATCAACTAAAAGTAGTAATGAATCGGAAAATTCTGACTCAGAAAATATTATATCTTTTTCTACTAGTCATGAAGATATTTATGGAACTCACCAGCGTACTAGATATGCTTTGAAGGTATTATATTTTATGAAAAATAAATAATTACTATTTCCTCCCATGTGCAAATGTATACCTTGATTTACTAATTACTTAATTAACTTTTTGTCAAAGTTTGTTATTATAACTTTAAATTTGAAAGTCGTGTTTAAATAAATATAAAGGGTTTTTAGAAAAAATAAGATATAAAGTATTTTGAATTATTCAAGATATCAGGAACTAACAAAAATAGGACTCTCAGAATTTGGGACTAAACTCTGGTCATAGATTTTATGGTCATGGTGATAGATTTTGCAATAAGGGAACCTAAAGCTGTTCAGTAGTCATATTTATCAAAAATATTCATATATTTTAATTTTTTGATAAACAATAAATTTAATTGTATCTATATATTAATTAATTTTTACTAAAAGTATTATAACATTAATTATTGTTAACTAAAATATTATGTCCTAAAATAAAATAGAATTAAAAAATAAAACAGTTAAATAGTTTATTTATCCAATTACTTATTAAATTGATTCTAGAGGACTGAATCATTAAAAGCTTATTTGAAACGAGTCACCATTGATAAAGATAAGTTACAACAAGAAACTGCTGGATATAAGGAAATAACAGAACTTCTTAAATATAAACTAGGAAACCTTGAACAAGAAATGTCTTTTCAAAATGAAAACACAACGAGACTACAAAGTCAAATAAAAGAGTTGGACATTAAATACACTGATGCATTAAATAAAATTGAATCACTTGAATTGTCAAATAAAAATTTAGTTGTTGAAAATCAATACTTAAAGCAAATCAACTCAGAGGTATTTAGTATTTACTTTAATATAATTTTACATTTTTTAAAAACATTGTTTTAGCTCATAGAGCAATTGGACAATGGAAGCAAATACCAAAATGAAGATTTAGTTGATCCGGAACTCTCATCTGTAATTATTAACATAAACTTTATTAGGGTGAAGTAGAGAAATATAAATGAATAGGGTAATTTAAAATACATTTTTTCTCTTAGAATATTTAGCAGATTTTACTTTAGATTGTAAAGTTCTGGTCTTTGTAATTGTCACTATCATATTAGATATAAGTTTTAAATAAAAACTTGTGCAATTATCAAAAAAGATGTATTTACAATTACACCACTTCACCCTATTTAAATTTGTTTTAATTTTATCCTCTAGTAAACCAGCAAAAAAATCGAAATAAATAAATTTACTTAGATTTATAACATTTTATAAATTGTATAACCCACTCAATTACTTACAGAATGAATATATTTAAATATTTTTTTTTTTTAGTTATCTTTAGTTACACATTATTCTTGAATTATTAACTATGTAATCATTTTTAAGTTCATCCCTTATGCCTTGTAAGGGGGTCAACTTTGTTTTTTTAAATGGTAACACATATTTTTAATTTAATAAAATGTTTGAGTTTTTAATTCAATAATAAATGGCATTTGAATTTTTAATAAAACTTAATTTGTTTATTAGACATAAACATTTAAAGTTTCAAATTTTTGAGTTAATATTCATGTATAATATATAAGGTATTACAAATACAGGTAGCTAAATGGTTTTTATGACATCGATATTAGCAAGTACACAGCATTGTTATTATCAATGGTAGTAAGGCATATTGTTGTGAGTTAATAAATACACTAACTAACAATACAGAAAGTATATCTATTGATAGTCATAATTGATAATAAAAAATCCGTAACTGTGACAGCAATGTCATAAAAAACCAATATATATATATATATATTAAATTTAATTTTAGTTATATTTTTTTATTTGAATAGTTTTTTTGCTTCTTTTAAGTAACAATAATAATTAATATTTACTTTTTTTAACATTTTTTTGCTTTAATGTTAAATCAATATCAAAAACAGCCCTATTTTATTAAAGCATATCAATATTTCTTATTTTTTTGTTGGATTTATTTTGTCTGATACTTAAAAATAGAATCAACATACTTAATCTTGTTTAATGACAATTTATCTGATTATTCAAATATAGATTAAAAAATTACAAGCAATTATTAAAATGGAACAAGATAAACGAACAGAACTCGAGCAAAAAGTTAAATTATTAGCTGTTGATGTTAATATTCATCAATCATGTGGTCCATCTTTAGAATTATTGAAACAGTTGCAACAAAAAATTAATATAGACTATGTACCAAAAAAAGAAATCCTTAAATTAAAAACAGAACAAGAAAGAAAAATAAGTAAAGTGAAAATTGAATCTGAAAAAAAATTGGCTGATAAATTTCAAGATCTCAATAAACTCTTATCTAAACAGGTGTGTTCAAGTAAAACTTGCATGGGCTATTTGGTGTGATAATGATTTAATTATTTTATTTTGTTTTAACTTCTAGATGAATCAACAAGAAAAACTTGAATTACAACGAGAAAAAATAGAAATTCAGTTAAAAAAGGAATTTGAAAATACACGACAAAAATTTCAACTTGAAATTGCTAAACTACAAACAACTCTTAAAAGTAAGTCTGAATTTATTATTCAATAAATTATATCATAGTTATCAATAGACATTAACTGCTTGGTACTGTGCCTTAAATTTAGAAGAAATAGAGGACCTAAAATTTATTTTTGAAGAACTTTTTTTGATCATTTTTCCTGATAAAATACTATTACAAATGTAAAAATGTAATAATTTGAATTTTAGGAGGGCTCAAAAAATAGTTATATCATAATATTATTATTTATTTTTCCAATTTGTACCCTGTTGGATACAACTATAAAGAGCTTAATAATTAAGCTAAATTATTTAGCTTGAATATAGGTTGAAAATATTATTTAATAGTATTGTATAACTAGTATTTTAGAGGAGGTATAAGGTACAGCAATTTAGTAACAAGATAAAGACATTTAATCTTATTAATGACATTATTTATTACACAGGACAACAGCCAATTTCTTGTTCACAATTTTTATATGATTTCTATATAGTTTAGACACAGATTCTTATTCTGACTTCAGATTTTTTCTATTACATCTAGTCTATGAGATAATTTATAATTAGTAATTAAGAAATACTTACACCGTAAAATTATCTTTAAAAATATAAACAAATTTTTTTTTTTTTTTAACTTTCAAAAATGATTTCCTGATTTTTAATATATGTTGTGCAGAATTTGAGGCTGTTTCATCAAATTTAACCAATTTTTTTAATCTTTGAAATTGAGTTTGAGTATCACTTTTTTTTTATTCAACTTATAATTATGAAACTTTGACTAACAAATAGAAAAATTTTATAACCAACCTAACCAGGAATTTTGCTAATTTAAAAATATTCATATTTTTTTGTTTTAACAGCAATTATTTACTTTATGTACACTCAAAATACACAAAATTAATATTTTTTAAATCCTTATAAAATTTTCTAAAAAAATTATATTTTTTTTAATTTTTTATGATAATTTTATGGTATAATTATCGCGTAATTATTAATTATATCAAAAACTAGATGTGTTAGAGAAAATCTGAAGGTAGATCTGGAATCAGTGTCAAAATTCTATAACTTTCATTATTTATATATTTAGAAATCATATAAAAATTAAAATCTATAAACATTATTTGTTGTTCTGTATTATCATTGTAAAAAAAAATATATTTTTCTATTCTTTATTATTATTATTTCATAACAGCTAAAGAAATGGAGGAACAAATCTTAAGAGAAAAATGTGAGATATTATCACAAGAAATTGAAAAGACTCAGGATTGCCAAATGAGAAATTTAATTGAAAAAACATACAGTGTGTAAGTTATTTTTTTTGTTATTTTTACTACAAAATTTTGTTAAAATAAATTCTAATATGCAGGATAGCTCAGCATTCACGGACAACTTAAATAACTTTTGATCCAGTTGATATTTTGCTATTTTTTTTTTTTTTTTTAATAGTTAATATACTTGATGGCTATAATAATAATGTAATTAATATTAATTTTATGATTATATTTAAAAAATTTTTATAAAAATGTCCAAAAAAATTTAAAAATTGCTATTTCTTATCATAATTTGTTCTCTCAAAAGATAAAACTACTTATCTTACTTTTCTTCTGTCTTTGTCTCAGCATGTATTTCAATGTTTAATTCAATAAAATAATACATGAAAATTCAAATTATCACAAACTTTAAAATGATAGAGACTATTTATTACTACTAAGTAAAATCTATTCTACAAAATAGCTATTCTGGATTTTTTTTTACATTTTATTTAAAATTTAAAAATAATCAATATTTTTTTAATAAAATGTACAAGTATAAATTATTGAGATATAATTATAGACTTAATGTATAACTGTTATTTAAAAAAAACCCAGCACAGTGGAATCATGGCATAGTAGGGATTATAGTGACATAGTTGGACCCAGTAAAGATTTAATCTAACAGTGATTAAAATCACTATCGTAAAAAATACATCAATGTAAATCTGTAGATAGTATTTAATTTTAAAAAATTGGTAGATTATTCCAAAAGCAACATGATCTCCTATTTCTTTATTTATATCCTATTACAAGTTTTATGATTCATAAATGTAATATACATATAAATATTTATAATAGCAATTAAATATAGTATGAAATTAATATTTAATAATTTAGTATTGTAATTTTAATGTGAAATTATAAAGCAATTATTACTTTTATGGAAACCATATATAAAAGTTGAAGGTCTTGATGCAATACGTAAAAAAAAAAAATTGTTTATTATTTATAAATAAATTTACTGGTCTACAAGGAATTTTCATCAGAGACCAAAATATACTTTTTTAAACGCATTTTTGCGCCAATTTCAAATTTGCAAAAAAATTTTTAAAAAAGTCGAAAATTAGCAATTTTTAAATATGTAATTTTTTTATAAATTTCCCCCATTTACGAGGAATAACAGAAATTTTTTCAATTTTTAAGTGTAATGTAATAGACTAAATACAATTTGTGATCTCTTGACATATTTTTAAAAGAAATCGGTTCACTGAGAGATGAGAAAAAGTAATAATAGATACAAAAAAATTTTTTAAAAAAACACATCATAGTAAAATTTATACCTTCTAAGCTTCAAATTGAGGCTAAAAAAGTCAGTAAAAAATATTAACTAGATCAAATATTATTTAAGCTGTCAGTGAATGCTGGGCCACTTCGTATATTAATATATCTTATTATTCCTTTTAATTTATATTGTACAATTTGTTTAATTAGTTAATATCAGTGACTTAAGATAAAACAATTGAAATTTAAAAACTATGCATTTAAATTTAAAAATCCTTCACATTGCAACAATAAGCACAGGGGCAGCAGGTATAATGTCCCTACACAAGGCCCCTTTCATGAGGATTTAGCCTAAAACTTTTAGGGGTTCCCTAACAATTGCTACTCTCAAGAATCTTATGTTGTAATTTTGGTCTAAATAAAATATGAATTTGATAATTTGTTAAAATAATTTAATCAATCATTTGAGAAATCCAAAATAAAAATAAAAAAATGTACACTTCTTATGTTGAAAGATGAGAATTGGAACACAATGCATAAATACATTGAAGTACTTAAAATTGAAATAAATGGTTCAATTTTTTTTAGTTTTATATTATTAGTAATCTTTATTTTAGATTAATAAAAATTATTGTTACTAAATATATCACCGATCATCAAGAATAGTGACAATTTGAAGAAACAAATTTTATAGAAGAGCCAAAATAGACAATGTTATACTATTTAATTACAAATTAATTTTTTGAGACTATAAAAGAAACTATTATACCTAAATTAAAAAATGTTTAAAAATTTAATAAAAAAAGATGCATTTTGCAACTCCTATTCCAATAAGTGATACAATTGTATATGTAAAAACATTAATGAATTTTTTTAATTTTTTATTTTAGCCCCATAAATCTTTCAGAAATACCCACTCAATCATGTTCAACACTAGAACCTAATTCTACTTTTGAGAAAAGTGACAGTCCAGATAAAAGAGTTCAATGTAATGTTCAAAAGCTCAGAACTGAATTAGATAACACAATAGCACAAAAAATCAATGGTCTGTTACAGTAATGTAGATTATCAATTATTTTAGTTGTTTGTTTAAATTGAATAATCTTTTCAGATGTTCTAAACAGTGATCATATATTTTTGGAAAAATAAACAGTAAAACTCAATTTGTTAATTTTTTTGAGGGCTTATGTATAGTTTGTTACTTAGTGTCAATATAATTTTATATTATTAATTTTAAAATTGATTGGTACATTACCCATTAAATATTTATAATTTAATGTATTAAATTTAAATAATATGCATATACAGAATAGCCCAAATTGTTCTAACAAATTTTATAACTTTTGATTTATAGAATATATTTTATTACTTTATTTTATAAATAATTTTTACAGTTTTGGACTACATTGAAAGCATATATTTTATTATTTGTCTCTAATAAAAAAAACTCTTTTTTTAACATATTCCAAAACTATGAAAATTATTAAAAAAAGAAAGTAACAAAATATATATTGTGTGATAGAATTTGTTAAAACAGGCTAGGACACCTGTATGGACACTGTACATTTATGAAACAGTTTGTGCATAGTGGTAGAAATTAACATGACATCTATGATTGATCAAATTTCATGAGTAGTATAGAATATTTGTATTCTTTTAAACATCTAGAATTAAGTTTTTTTTTTAATTTTTCACATCACTTTTTGGTTTAGAATAGAAAAACAAACACAAAAGACTTTTAAAAATGTAATTCTAAATAGTCTACCCTTTATAACTTTTTATGTTGAATACTATTGTTCATTTAAATTTTTTTAATAATTTTAAAACATCTATTAGTTATTTAGCTAATAGACGTTTTTGTAAAATATTCCTAGTTACCATATATTCTTATTATATTATTTATGTGCATTTTACTACTTGAGTGTACTGTTCTCACAAATGCACAGTGTCTATGTGCAACTTTAGATTTTTTATGTTACATTTATATTTATTATTATGTTATTATGAATTGGCTGTTTTTATTTAATAATAATAAAAAAAAAACCTTTTGTATAATAAATGTTTTAAATTTAAGTTCTATCTCATATTTAATTATTTTTAAATGTGTAGTTAATTGAAACTATGAATATAAATTTGCATTTTCTGTAATATTTTTTGCTATACTATTATCCTAATTTGTTGAATAAATTAAATCAATTTTAAACTATTTGTTTAAATTTTATTTTAAATAAATTTTTCAGTAATTTTACAAATGTTTTTGATTAATCTCTTGTACTTCGTATTAATATTAACAGTTATCAATACCTTATAATTTATTTTTAAATTTTAACAATAGCTTGTTGCTATACAGCCCAATTTTATTTTACTCATAAATATTGTTCTATTCATGATAGTTCAAATAACATATTTTTGTTTTTTTGCTCATTTTTTATAATTAAGAATTAATAATTTACATACTTGAGCAGAATATTTTCCTGAATACCGTGGGAATACTTTTTTAAATATTTATTTGACCTAAAAAAAAAATTATTAACAAATCTAAATAATGCAATTTATGTAGTCTTTAATTCTTGAGGATTTTAAGGGATGTACATATATTTTAAATACCCACATTTTAATGTAAAAATTAATTTTTCAAGTACAAGTTTGGTAATTTTGTAGTGAAGTATTTAGTGTTTTTATACTTCATAAAATATTTATTGGAATACTAAAAAAAAAAAAATAATTTTATAATTTAAAATTTTTGAATATCAACTTTTATTCTTTTAGACTAAATAATATATTTTATTTAATAAATAAAATATAAAATAATTTTATGATTTAAAAAAGTATTCTACTAGTATGATAATTTATATTTATAATTAGCTGTAAAAATTACATTTAATTTCTAAATAAACAAATTCCTAATAATTTATTTAGTTTTTAATCTTTGATTTAAGCAAGAATGTAAATTTTGATAAACCTAAACATTTTAAATTTGTTTCGTTATTTATAAACGCTAAATGTTCATTTAAATTTGACTGTAATAAAACAAAATTAGTGTGAATACTTGTACAAATTGTACTCTTCTTCTACCTCGCCTTAATCCCAACTACTTGGAGACGGCCACCCTTATCCTAAACTTCCACTTGACACGATCTCCCAGATCATCTACGCTCACATCAGCTGTCCTCATATCGCATTCAATAGCATCCCTCCATCTCTTTTTTGGTTCTGCCTTCAACATTAATTTCTATAACTGTTCTTACAGCTTCTAATTCTTCTCATTAGCATTATAAAGATAAAAATATAAAAAATAATTTTTTTACAAAAATCATATTTTTTTTATAAACTTTGATGTCTGTTTTCACCATGAAGATAAAATAAAGTCCGAAATTTTTTTTTGCATAATAAAGTATATTACATTAGCTTTAATTTAAGATGTATATAAAAGTGTCAAACCTTCCGGAACACATTCAAAATTTAAGTTGAAAAAGTTCTACTTTTTACATGCATTTTTTAGATTTTAACCCCCCTCGTATATAGGGAAATGGTCCGATTTAAAAAAACAGTATGTCAAATGAAAGATGTATATGAATACTACTTCTCATAAAAAAATTGTACTGATCCATACATTTTTCAAAAAGTTATAGCATAATAAAGTTAAAAATGTAAAATACAAAATCGAAAATTTTCACACAAAAATAGCATTCGGTAGCCATTTTCACCGTGAAGATAAAATAAAGTCCGAAATTTTTTTTT